TAAGGGTGGGTGTATTTAATATGAAAGAGGTGTATTACGGTTGGACAGACATGTAGCGCAAATGCCAGGTTTTGTTTACATTTTGTTTCGTTCACAACGTGTGCATTTGGCTCCGTCCTTAAGGGGTTAAACTTATTACCTGACAAGTAAAATATGCAGTTATGTTACAGCACATCTCCACAGCACATAAAGGTCTCTGCCAGTATGGCATTTCTGATCACATCAGTTACCAAATCTGAGTGACCTCCCTCCCCCTCTCAAAAATATATATATTTTTCAAAAACTATTATTACACTCACTTTAATATCAGTGGGAAATTAAATTGTCACACATTTAGAATTATCAAAAAAAAATAAAAAAAGATGCCACACAACTCACAAATGTCAATTTATAAGAAAATTTATATTTTTAATAGTTACAGGAAAACTTGTTTTTACATTGGAATAATTATGTATTTTAATATTGGAAATATACTTGGTTTTAAATGGTTTAAAATGTTTAGATGGTTTTAAAGCCTTATTTACTGGTTGCAAGCAGACCTCATACAACTTCCACGTTCTTATTTAGAATCTACAATAGCACCAGAAGTTGTACTAATGCTCAGCCCAATGGATTATCATCCTGAGAACTGTGGTCCTTAGCATGGCATCCAGCACTCCCTCTCCGCAATGAAGTCTCACCCTGGAACTGCAGATATTTGTATACTACAATTCCCATGATGCACAGCCAGCTTCATGGAAAGTAGTGCACAAACACCTGCAATGGCAAATTGAGCCAGTATTGCCAGAGGACACTGATGGTTAACCTTGGCACCCCAGGTGATGGTGAACTACATTTCCCATCATGTCCTGCCAACCTACAGCTCACAGACGTACACCTGGGATGCCAAGGTTAGTAAACAAACCCTCACGGCCTACGAGCTGCCTGCTTGGAGAAGCCATTGGCATCATACCAGGGAGTTGTCACGGCCTGCTCCCCCTGCTTTTACCTCTCCGGCGGTGGCTGTTGGCTCCAGGGAAGTGGAGGGCTGCGCCTCCTCATCTGCCATAGCCTCCATCAGATCACTGGCTGGGAAGCCGAATCCCCTTTATTACTGACAGACACAGTGGGTAAACTATGCACACACAGCGCCACTCAGACAAACGGACACAGACACACAGACAGTGACTGGGGGAAATAATACAGTCTGGATATAACGTCACAGCCCAGTCCGGGGGAGCGACTCGTACAGTGCACGCCCACCCTCCGCTCGATGACCGACCGCCCACCCCGGCTGTGACGAGTGGGGGTCGAAAGAATTGGTCCTGGTCCCAGGAACTGCCCGGGCATGTCACAAAAATAAAGTCTGGGGCAGAGGCAGTGGCCTGCTCTCAGGGACTGTTTGGTAAACTTATAGTAACAATTTCCTGCGTTTTTGTTCCCATTTTCCAGGTCAGATACAGGCTTTTCCCCCTGAAGTCTTGAAAAGTATAACATATTAACATAAGTCTAAAAGTAAACTACTGATTCAAGGACATTTGGGGCACCATAACAACTTAATTGCAATTAAGTTTTTATGTTGTGAGGCGGTGCCTGGGGCTCTTCTATCCGAAAGGGGTACTCGTCACCAGAACAACTATAGCTTAACCCCTTCCCGACCTAAGACGGAAATTTTCAGTCAAAATTGTCCTTGCGTTAAGGACCCTTGACGGAAAATTTCCATAATTTACTAAAGTTAACCCCAGATCGCCGCGATCTGAGGGTTTACGCTCCTCCGGTCTGCCTCAATAGTCAAGCTAGACCGAGAGCACTCGTTCACACTGTCCCTGCAGCTGTGATCGCTCTGACAGGCTGTCAGAGCAAGCTCATGTGCTGCAGGGGCTCACGATCCGCCTTCCTGCTCTTCCGTGTCCAGTCAGGGAGACAGATCAGTGATCATCTGATTCTCCCTGTAAAAAAAAAAAAAAAAAAGTTAAAGTAAAATCCCACCCCCCCTTTCCCCTGCTTTAATAAAATTAACCCCTTCCATGCCAAATGATCACTGACTACAGTTATCAATTGGCAGGGACTACATTTTACTGTCATCTGATTATTATTTTTTTTTAATCCCTGATGGTTATTTTTTTTATTTTTAACCCTCAGGGGTTAAATTTATTTTATTAATTAATTTAAATATATTAAAATTATATATTTTTCTACCTGTGGTGGGTGGGGGTTAGGGTAAACAGTGGATTTTACTGTTAGTGCTGCTTACTGCTAGTTAGGGGTTAACGGTAAAAAAAAGTTTCTAAAAAAATTGAAATGTGTAAAAAAACATAAGAAAGAAAAATGCCCATTACCACTACACCTGGAACAAACTAGAAAAAAATGATCCCACACTAAGGTTCAAAATATGCCTTTTGAATTCCCCCGGGGTGTATTCTTTAATAAATAGTATGTGTTTGTGAGGAAGTTTTAATAACCAACTAGCTAAACTACTCCAAAATGCTTTTATGGGGTAGTTGGATTATATAAGGTTTGCAAAATATACTTTGCAAACTCACTTTGTGTGTCAAAAAGGCAGAAAAATGCCCACGCTAAGGTTCAAAATATGCCTTTTGAAATACCCTGGGATGTCTTCTTTAAAAAATGGTATGCCTTTATGGGGTAGTTGGATTATATAGCCTGCTAAAATACTTTAAAATGGGACATGGACACAGCGTAAAAATGCAAAGTTTGAAAAAAACTGGAATGGCTGTGTCTCAAATGTGCCCCTTCAATGTCCACATATACCTGGCAAAGGTACATACGGGGATATTGCTGTACTCAGCCGACATAGCTGAGCAACATATGAAGTAGGGATGTGCAAGGGCAAAAAAGTAGCTTCAGTTCGGCACTTCCGAAATTCAGGACTTCGGCGGTTCAGTACAGCAATTTGGGACTTTGGGAATTCGAGACTTCGTCAATACCCTAACCCTACCCCTTACCCTAACCCTACCCTTAACCCTACCTTCACCCCTAGCCCTACCTTTAACCTTAACCATACACTTACCTCTACCACTGACCCTAACCCTATTCCTAACCCTACCCCTAACCCTACTCTGACCCTACCCCAGCCCTAACCCTACTAGAGTTAGGGGTAGGTAGAGGGTTAGGGTTAGATTCCTGTCATCATTCCCTTAATTTTCCCTCCCTCTCCTGTTTTGCCACTTCTCAGAAATCCAAAGCACTTCGGCACTTCTGAAATTCGACACTTCGGCAATTCGGGTCGGTTCGGCACTTCCAAAATGTGGCAATTCAGACATTCGGAAGCATCTGAATGTCCGAATTGCCGAAATTCGTCTGAATTTAAATTCGGACCGAAATGAATTGCACGTCTAATATTAAGTATTATACAGTCGTAGAACACATAGGGTTTGCAAAATATACTGTGCAAACTCACTTTGTGTGTCAAAAAGGCAGAAAAAATGCTTATTACCACTACACTTGGTACAAGCTAGCGGAAAAATTATGCCACGCTTAGGTTCAAAATATGCCTTTTGAAATTCCCTGGGATGTGTTCTTTAAGAAATGGTATGCATTTAAATTTGGACCGAAACGAATTGCACATGTCTAAAATTGGAGGCAACCTTACCCATTGACTTAAAGCCCATGACAGATAATTGGTAGGGTGGGGATGCTTGTTTTAGTAAGGTGAAGGAAAATGGTTAGCCCTTCAAAAATTCAGACCTATTTATAACTATAGTGCTGCAAGAGCTTGAGAAACTCTAGCCAATCAGATTTTCACACCATTTTGCAAAAAAAATCTGATAAAAACTGCCCCATACCTGTCTATATCTAAATTACTTGACCTACATGACATAAACCTGAACCCGCTGTACACTATGTCCAGCAATGGACAGTTACAGTGCTGACTATAATGCCAGCACATTGCAATTTCTGCTGGTGAGGTGACTGCTCCACTGGCAGTGTTGTGGGCAAGAGATGCAGGGGAAGGTGAGTTATACTCACCTGAACCTGTCCCTTTGTGGCTGCCGCCATCCATTCTTTCTGCCAAACCACGGAATCCTCCATAGACAGGGCCTATTTCCCCTCAGCTGTCACTGGCGAGAGCTTGACAAGGCTTGTCAAAGGTAGCTCCACCTTTGTTAAGTGTAGGAACAATGCTAACATGCAAAACAGTCCCTACTATAGTAGGTGTCAAATTCCAACACAGGCGATGTGAGTATTTCTTAAAGATTTTATCTTTATGAAATACTAATTTTGGATGGGTGCAGGTGGTAGTGATGCTTAAAGGGCTTAAACCATTAATGAATAGTTTAACCCCAAATTCACGCCAGATCGGTCTGCCCAATAATTCCTTTTTTGGTCCAAGGCTTGAGTCCCAAAACTCGGACTAGGAGCGGCACTTGGCACTCTCAGCCTATCACTAGCTCCTTATTCACAAAAATCTTTTACTCAGTTTTCTAAATGTGGAGCTAGTGATAGGCTCAATATAGACTGGCATTTGATGGTGTTTGGGAGTAGTAAAGCTGTTGACACTGTCAGCAGCAGAACTACCACCGGTGTGGTTGCACTAGGGCCTGCACGCTGGAGGAGGGCCATCAGGTGGCCCATGCACTTAGAACCACCCAACGGGCGTTGTTGAACAGGGCCCTGGTGCAAGAAATTGTTTTGGGCCACCTCTAGAACAAGAGTGGCCAAAAGGTAGTTCCCCATCTGTTGTACAACTCCCACATTGCTACAGTGGTGTATCCTGGTTTTGTGCAGGACAAAACTCAAGCACCCCCCTCCCCCCGCGCCACCCCCACCCAACCCTCCCCCCGCCCCACCTTCTAAATACACACACACACACACACATACACAGTCAGACACAAACACACACACACAGTCAGACACACAGTCAGACACACACAGTCAGACACAAACACACACACACACAGTCAGACACACACAAACACACACACAGTCAGACACAAACACACACACACACACACACACAGACACATACACACAGCCCACACACACACACAAGAGTCAGACACAAACACACAGTCAGACACACACAGACACAAACACACACACACAGTCAGACACACACACACACACACAGAGTCAGACACAAACACACAGTCAGACACAAACACACAGTCACACACACAGTCAGACACAAACACACACAGACACAAACACACAGTCAGACACACACACAAACACACACACACAGTCAGACACACACACAGACACAAACACACACACAGTCAGACACAAACACACACAGTCACACACAGGGCCGTCTTTAAGGAGGGGCAAAAGGGGCAGCTGCCCCGGGCCCAGTTACTCGTGGGGGCCCTAAGGCAGCTGCCCCATGGGCCCCCTGCGGCACCTGAGGTAATCAGGGGTCACAGCCCTTTAATACTGCTCTGGACCGGCCTGGGCCCCTGTTATATGGGGGGTGGCTGACTACATACTCACAGCTAGCCCCCTCACATACTGCCCTGTGAGTCTCTTTGTTTCCTGGGCATGCTGGGAGGAAGTGAGGTCAGATTGCTTCCTCCCAGTAAGAACTGATCACTTCCTCCTCAGTGCAGCTGGGGAGGAGGCACACACCACATGGAGGAGGATGCAAGCATTGTGGGGGAGAGGGACTGAGAAAGCTGATGGCAGACTCCCATCAGCCTGGGCCAGCAAGCTCTCACTGGACACCAGGGAAGCCACCTTTCTGTACCCAAAAGGTAAGGAGACAGGAGGGTGGCTAAATATGTTTTTTGTTTGTTTTGCTAATTTTTGATATCACTTTTATTTAAGTGTGTTGGTGTTTGTAATGTAACACACAGGGAATAAGTACATGTTAAAAATCCTAGAAGAACCTGACAGTTCCCTATTAAATATAAATTTAAAAAGTATTTATTTTAACATATTGCATCAAGTGTTATCAAAGGCTCTACACCATTTTCAAATGTCACTTTTGCCAAATTCTGGACCAGGGTATGTAAGAACAGAGTTGAGACATTATATTGGCCAAGGTTGCTGGGAGTTGCTGTCCAAGAGCTGCTAGAAGGCAGAGATTAAAATATGTAAATGTACACATATATATGTGTGTATCTGGCTGTGTTTGTCTGTGTGTCAGTGTTTCTGTGTGTATGTATACCTCATACACCTGTATGTGCACCTGTATGTGTGTTTCGGTGTGTGTGTAAGTGTGCATCTGAGTGTGTGGTAATGCATACATCCCAGCATTTTAATGCCAACACAAATACACTCCTACATTCCATCTCTAGCACTATACACATATACACCCTTGCATTTATACCTTTATGTATGTGTGTATCTGAGTGTGTGTATATACCTGTGTCAGTGTGTGTGTGTATGTGCCAGTGTGTGTATATCAAAGTGCTTGTATCTGTGTGTCAAAGGGTGTGTATCTGAGTGTGTGTGTATGTGTATGTGCCAGTATGTGTCAAGGTGTGAGCATGTGTGTATCTGCATGTTAATGTGTATATGTGTTATAGAAATCACACAACATGCAAACAGACCCCTGCAAACACAAACATTACAAACACACCAGTTTGCTGAAACACTAATACTACACACAAATGTACACATGTATTTAAAAGACAACACTACATCCAAACACCCCCCTGCATGCAAATACAAACATTACATGCAAACACCTTCCTATATTAAAACGTTAAAATTATATACAAACACCAACTCTACACACAAAAGTACACCTGCATTTAAAAGCCAACACTACAAACAATCACACATCCCTGCATTAAAATGCAAACACTACACACAAGTACACCACTGCATTCCAATGGTAACAGTACATACAAATACACTCCTGCATGCACACATACACTCTATACAATAACATGCTGACATTCATTTGCACAAACACTGCTAAAAAATACAACCCTGCAAGGATGGTAGATCCCCAGCTGGCATAGCATCGCAGGAGTTGTATGACAGATGGGGATCTATCTTTTCTTTACTCTTGTGCTACAGGGCAGGCCTGAATTTTTTTTTGTTGCACCAAGGCACTCTCTACATTAGTTTCGCCTCTAGGTTGGGGTGGAGGGAGTGATTGCATGCCCGGGGGGCCCAAACAGATGCTTGCCCAGGGTCCAATCAATATTAAAGACGGCCCTGGTCACACACACTGACACACACAATCAGACACACACAGTCAGACACAAACACACACACACAGTCAGACACACACACACACACACACACACAGTCAGACACAAACACACACACACACGCAGTCAGACACAAACACACACACAGTCAGACACACAAACACACACAGTCAGACACAAACACACACACGCACACACAGTCAGACACAGACACACAGTCAGACAAACACACACAGTCAGCACAGTCAGACACAAACACACACACACAGTCAGACACACACACACACAGTCAGACACAAACACACACACAGTCACACACAAACACACAGTCACACACACAGACACACACAGTCAGACACACACACACACAATCACTCACATTAAAAAATTTTTTTTTAATTTACCCCTCCCCCAGCCTCCTTACCTTTGGGAATGCTGGGGGGGAGGAAGGGGTCCCTCTCTCCCTGGGGGTGCAGGGGGTGCAGTGGCTGGCTGGCAGGCGGGCGGTTGGCGTGGGAGCACTTCCTCTGAGCACTCTGCTCAGCTCCCTCGCCAGCCGCCCGCCCGACCATCACCCAGCGCCGCCCTTGTATACTTTCACAGAATTAGACCTCAGTGTGGAATTGGCGTTGTGAGGAAGGAGGAAAGAACTAAACTCCCATACTGCGTGCGAAATAGTATCGCTCTAATCTCTCATACAGCATGTGGAGCAATATCGCTGTAGAGGCACCCCCCGTCGCCATCCCACACATCCACTGTAGGCAAAGACGGTACTAGGCTGACTTGTCTAAAGAAATCTAAGATAGAGAGCGCAATCACCTAACCACCATTCTAACAAGCTATCTAACACGTGTTTCGGCGCTGCTACACGCGCCTTCATCCGAGACTAATTCCACACTGAGGTCTAATTCTGTGAAAGTATACAAGGCAATATATACTTTGTATCTATCTAGTGCTGACTTCAACATAATTGAGCGCTCTAGCTACTTTGTATATGATCAGTGTATACTTTATAGGCTTATTTTTCTTTCCTACCTATATTATATGAATACAAGTATTAGTTTGGGATGGTGACAACCTATTAGGAGAGTTATAGCATTAGTAGCTTAGTAGTTTTACACAATTCATTTGTAGCAAGGTTGTATGTCTGAGTGGGTTCTCTTCTTGATTTATTTCTTTTCTATACACCTCCAAGTTTTCCTTTTTCTTTGAGGGGATATAATAAGTTTAACTGTATAACCCACCCAGAGTCATTCTCACCTTTCCATATTGATTTTAACCAATATATTCTTTGTATTCTTCTTTTTTCTTTTTAAGCAGTAACCATTAAAAGTTAAATTTTAGCTGCACACATTATCATAGCAATCAATTAGGGGGCGCCCTATTTTCTTTGACCACTCTGGTCTTTCTTTTCTTTATCTTAGGGTGCTGTGTGTGTGACGGTGCTGTTTGTGTGCTGTGTGTGGGTGTCATGTGTTTGTGAAGGTGCTGTTAATGTGTTGTGTGTGAGGGTGCTGTTTGTGTGTGAGGGTGCTGTTTGTGTGCTGTGTGTGTGAGGGTGCTGTGTGTGTTTGTGAGGGTGCTGTGTGTGTGTGAGGGTGCTGTTTGTGTGCTGTGTGTGTGAGGGTGCTGTATGTGTGGGGGTGCTGTTTGTGTGCTGTGTGTGTGTGGGTGATGTGTGTGCTGTATGTTTGGAGGGATTGTGGGGGTGGAGGTGGGGGCAGATTAGTAAATATCCCCCCTCCCTTCTTACCTTATGTAGGGAGGGGGGATCCTTGTTGCCATGTGCCATCCCTGGTGGTCCAGTGGAGAGTCAACGCTAGCCTGCGGGCAACGCTCTGATCTCACGAGAGGAACCTAGCGGAGGTGCTGGCTCCCCAGGTCCTTTACTGCCTCCCTCCATGCTGCTGTGGGCCGGTGAGGTAGATCTTTGATTTCCCCACCGGCCCATGGAGGCTTCAAGCTGAGCCGGAGCTCTGATAGCGCCGGCTCTGCATGAGCCGACAGGGGAGATCCTAAGATCTCCCCTGCCGGTCTTAATCCATAGGCGGGCCACGGGGATTAGGATGTGCCCAGGCACACCCGGCACACCCCGTGCGCACGCCTATGGCGAGAGATAAAAACGTTTAAAGTAAGTTACATCTAATTGAAAATGATACAATTTTTTTCATGCAGACTGTGTCAGCTAGAGCCGGGGGGAAGGGGGTGTGTGACTATGGCTGCATAAACAGAAAAAAAAGCAATTTAAAGGTACACTTTAGGTACCCAGACCACTTCAGCTCATTGAAGTGGTCTGGGTACAGTGTCCCATCACCCTTAACCCTGATCATGTAATTATTGAAGTTTTAAGTAAACTGCAATAATTACCTGCTAGGGTTAACTCCTCCTCTAGTGGCTGTTTACCAGCCAGCCACTAGAGGAACTTCCGGGTCTTTAAAACGCAATACATGTGAACTTCGAGCATCACCGGAATCTCCATAGGAAAGCATTGAGTAATGCTTTCTATGGGGAATTCCCATTGCCGCACATGCGTATGCAGTCTCCCCCGCTGACGTTGGCTGGGGAGGAGTGAAGGCGGATCCGAGCCAGCGCCAAAGGACACCCTTGGCACTGGACCCAGGTAAGTGACAGAAGGAGTTATTAACCACTTCTGCACCCCTGTGGGGGCCTTGACAGAGGGATAAGCTATAATGCCAGAAAAAGAGGTTTGTTTTCCTGGCACTATAGTTTCCCTTTAACTAATTGTCAGTGAATTGAGCAGTGAGACTTCAGAGGCATGAACTATTCACCAAAACTGCTTAATTAAGCTAAAGTTTGTTTGGTGACTATAGTGTCCCTTTAACAGTTTACTGTTAAAATTAACAGCTCTTTGACTAATAAAAGTGTTACTTCACTATTTAGCTCAAGTGTGCAGTTTTCCTGCATTGTTTTATGTTGTACAATTATTATATTTATATTTGTTTAACTTTAACATGAAAAGTATGACAGTGTAACACTAGAAATTTTTAGTTTAAAATGGAATTCTATATTCTAAAAATATACATTGATATATTTCTCACTACATAGTACTGTGATGGGTGATGCCAACTGCTAAAAGAAATAGTTTGTAGTGTAGGTTAAACCGATGGTATTTTCTTT